GAAAGACTTACAGAAAATAGCCCACATGGATCCACCAACAGTGATGCGGTTAATGTATGATTAACTGTGTGTACGTGTTAATAAGCAAGCTGTTCCCCTCACCCCCACCTTGTCCTTCTTGTCCTGCCGAGCGTAGGGGAAACAAGGAATAACCGCCGTGACTCTGGAGGCCGATGCAATCTTACAGGCATTGATCATGATCAGCAGCTCCATAAGATTGTCGTTTATTTCGCCACAGCCACTCTGGACAATATAGACATCTTCTCCACGCACACTCTCTCCTATCTCTACACTGCAAAAACACACACACACAAACAAACAAGGTTGAGTGGATCTCAGTCACTAAAGATAGTGCACTATAAATCTATACTTGTCTGCCTGATTAGAGGTGTATCTGATTTGAGTTGATTTTTAAATATAAACACCACTGGGGTTCAGAATGTTATCCATTAAAAAGCAAACTGAAACTATTGCGTCAAAAACCTGACTGCATTTATCTCATGTCAGCAGCAGATAAAGAGTGTGAGCCACATTTTATCTTTTAGGGTCACAAGGCTTCCACTCATCTGGAGTTAAATGTCAATTATATAAACACAGACACCAGGGCCAAGATTAGATTTAATCTCACGATATGAAAGTGGTCGTGTACCTGCATATTCCTTCTTTTTAGCTATGGAAGTGAAACTAACTCTATTAAAAATAATTATAAATAATGAAAAAACGGCAGCATTTCACGAGGGTACATTTAATAGCGTTATAACTCCTCACGTGGCAAAGCAGGCCAGACAGTACGTTTAAAATTAGCATTAGCGGCCCCGAGTCACATGCTTAATGCAGGTGCATGCTGGGAAATTGAGTCTGGTGCCTGTACGAGGCGCATTGCGCCAGATGACACCTTCCAATTCAGAAAACTACAAACTAAAAAAAAACGTGGTTGCCATGTGTTTACCATTCCGTTTACCCTAGCCAAAACATTCCGGGAAATCAGTTGCAAATCTGACTGTAAATAACTCACCAGGTTTCCTGATTGCTGAATTTTTTGGTGACCACTTTCCCCAGTTCGAGTCCCAGTCGGTCCGCGATCTTCTGCGACAGATCCGGATGCGAACTGCCTGAAAATATCTTAATGTTTGGCATTCTGGGCTGATCCGTGGTGCCTATAGTGTCGGGATGGTGTACAGTGTTTTTAAAAAACACTGTAAGCTAAAATTACCTCTTCTAAATCAATGTTTGATCTCAATAAAGTAAGTGAAGAGGGCCTGGTGCAGGTCGTCTCTTCTGAATCGGATCCGTCCGCGCAGGCAGCAAAAGCCACTAGTACGTGCCATCGTAGCCCCGCCCATCTTCTTCTTCTAATAACGTTTTATGGCGGATGGCAAACCAACTTCTGGTGCATTTACCGCCACCAACTGGACTGGAGTGTGGAGCACTAATAAATACATATTTATATTTATCTATATTTTATTAAAAAAAATAAATAAATAAAAAACACACACACATTCCTAAATTCTCCTGATTAATCCTATTCCTTTAATGTATTTAACAATAGCACCATATATTTTACCTTGTTCTGCATGCTCTTTCAAGAGGTTTGACAAATTAAATGATTCAACACCCATGTTTCTTACTTCCTTAATGAGTTTTAACCTTTCTTTTTCATATTTTTTACATGTTATTAAAACGTGCTCTATTGTTTCTGCCTGATTACAAAAAATACATTGACCTGTTTCATGTTTTCCTATATTAAACATAGCCCCGCCCACTTCAGTTAAACACGCCCATAAACTGTGGCGCGCGTCAATTTCGGCGCTATGACTGGACATATTTCTGGGGGCTAGATGACTGGCAGCTAAACAGACATGCACGCAACACACTTTATGATGTTCCAGCGTTTCGCTTGCGTTCGTGCACACTCGGTCAAAAATGACATTGCTTAATTTAATTTTAGATGGGGATTTTTTTTTTACATTTATAAACACCGGGACAACTAAGCGGTCTCTCAGCCAACTAGATTTGCTAGATTTTCTCGATAACTTTTTGAAATCACTTTCATTAAGAACAATATAACATATCGTTTAACAGTTAGAAACCAGTTAAAGGCACAATATTTAAGATTTTTTTATTAAAATATCCAAAAACCGTTAAACAAAAACAGTGTTATATATTTTACTTGTGTACTTACATTATCCCAAATGTTTCGAAGAATGTTTAAATCCAGAGAAATAAGCAATTTTAACTAGTGACAGACCGTGTCTATAGTGTCATTGTGTCGCCTGCCAATTACGTCATAACCCCTCGATTTCCGGTTTTGTTTTGTAGGAAACGTGGAAACACCAAAGACGCTTTAATATGTTGTGCGTTTTAATAGACCGGTGACGACCGCACAGAGTAGCATTATAACAGAACTTTCAAATGTATCTAGTATGATAAAACAGCGCTGCTTACTTCCGCTGCTTTCCGGACGTATCACGCTCGTTCAGCGGCCTCTTTCCATTCGACGGCTTTCAGCCTCACCCTGCTTCATTCTACTACGTTAATAAATCATTAGCTCATCCATGAACATGATTTCTGCCAGAATCCCGTCGGATTGCATCGGCTGTGGGGATGAAGACCACAACTCCCATGATTCCACACTCAGTCACAGCGCCATCAAACTAGCCTTTGTCTCTGTTTATTTTGAATACGCGCCCTCTAGCAGCGAAAATGACATTTTGTGCCTTTAAAACAGAGAAATCTTATGTCTAAAAGTCTAATGTCAACAGGCTTTTATTAAAACTGTCTTGTGTATCATATATATAGCTTATATACAGTTTAAATATTAACAAACATTTGCAATGAACTCATTTTGCAATGACCCTACGCTTCATAAAACATGTAAATTATGTCTCCAGTGCAGCTGGTTTATCTAGTTTTTAAGTGAATTCCTAGGGGGGAAAAAACTCTGGTTGCTATAGTAAATAATGCACTCTAGTGGTAAAAGAGGTGTCGTCTGTGTTCCTAGGACTGCTTTCTGTTGTATAGTTGGCAAAACCGCCATCAAAACTGATTTAGAGATCTGATTTAGAGAATCGATAAAGCCTGATCAAATTAGATTTGTTCATGTTTCCACAAACAAAAACGAGTCAGTACTGAAACGAGTGATCAAAAGCTCTTTTAATTAATATTTATTCCATAAACATGATTACAAAACTCAGCAAGTTACCAATAGTACATTTGTCACCACACAGGCTTGATCACAAATATTTCAACTTTTGTGACAGATACAACAAAAACAAAGTACTAGAATAATTTACATGAAATCTATAAAACAGCAATGAGATCACAAATTAGTGTTATTGTTCCACTGTCTGTTTTCATGGTTTCTTTTTTTATCTTTAAATTAATATATATTTTAACTAGAGCACAACACTCTTACAACAAGATTGGTCCAATTACAAAACCTTTCAACAAAGAGTCACAGCTTGCTCTCCTTCTCTCTCCTTTACAATCGTTTTTTATTTATTTTTTATAGTATTTTCAATTTTTGGCTTTAAAACAAACAAACAAAAAACAAATAAGAGAGAGAGAAAGAAAAAGAAATAAAGAAAACATCATGGCAATTAGCAACCTTTTCACTTGCCGAAAAGGGAAAAGAACAAAGCCACAGTAAGAACGACCTCACATCACTTTCTAAGAAAAATATACACTTAGAAAATATGTTACAAATTGGCACAATGAAAAATATACAGGTCATTATTTTTTTTTCCTACATCAAGAAGTTCATTGAGAATCCACCTGGAGAAGACAGACCAGGCAGTAGAAAGAGTTTCTTTTTTTCCTTGATGATGAAAAAAGGCAAAAGTAGTTACAAGTAATGGAGTGTCAAATAAATCATGAAGAAAAAAAAGACTTCCAACTTGACAATATAATACATTCATAAATAGGGCACAATTAAGTTTTTGATATGCCTGTATTAACTTTACATGATGCACTTATAGGGGAATAACACCGTTTAAGAACTTTTCAAAAAATATGAACGCTTCGGTCAGTGCAGGGGATGTGTGCTATACAGTTTTCACTGGTGTAAAACTTTGCTCTCAAAGTATGAAGAAGAGCACCCTGCACTGGCATCACAGATGTCCTGCAGGTTTAGCAACAGTAGTGCTACGTAAAAACAGCTTGAGTTTGTATGGCGAGATGGGCAGCTGAGGGAATGAGAGATGTGAATGCAGTTGGGTTCCCTGAGCCAACGGACCTGAACCAACTGTGTTACATCTCCATTCACTCAGCACAGAAAAAAATAATTTGGACAACCAACTTATATTCTAATATTTCCTGGTCTTTTGCTTGGTGCGGTTGATTTGGCTGGGAAGGCCCTAAAAATCAAGAGGTTTTCAAGGCTCACTTCTGAATTGCACCACCAGCTGTGGAATGCCACTCATCATCTGCACCCGTTTTCTTCAACATTTCAACACTCCAATAATTTCACCTTAATTCATTCACAGCAATGTTACAGCATTTGCACAAGTACCCACTAAACTTTGAAAATGGAGGAACAGTTCTCAAACTAGTTGTCAATTCAATGAAGTGTTGAACAACTTAAAAGTGCTTCACACTCTGTGAACGTAAGGGCAGAAAATCAAAGAGAAAATATTTCTTTTCAAATAGGTATTCACAAAAGAAGGGATCCAGGGAGTTGCAGAAAAAAAGATCCTGAAGCAATGTAGTAAACAGCACATGGGGGTAACCTTTCCCTCTTTTTATAACACAACAAATAACATTCCAACAGCAATAGAAAAACAATGGTTTTGAGATCAGGTAAGAAAAAACAGGCGAGTCAGAGAAAGTAATACAGGGGATCAGCATTCACATCACATATCCATATCATGTTTTAATTTTAAATGCATGCACATCACTAGCAACAATTTAGAAAACTTTCAAAAAATATTTGGTCCTGTTCTTAACTAGAGAGTTTCTAGTTAAGTTTCTAGTTATTTCTCTGTTAGTTCTATCTAACAGAGAAATATATTTACCGAACTAGAAACTTGGGGATGTAAACGAGTTAGAATGCATTGTATGTCTTGTTATAAGAAGGAATGATCATTTTCTTACCTTGTTACACACGAACAGAGTGATCTTTTACCATCTAGAAATGCATCAGAATGAAAGGCAACCAATGTTTTTCTCTGCCATTATAGCACTTCAGCTTCCTCCCACAAATTCTCGTCATGCATCTCTCACTTCATGCCTCTAATCTTGAAATAGCCAGGAGTGTAAAACACAGAAAATAAACCAACAACATTTTTCTTCTGATTGTTGAGATGACTCCTCGCCGCTAGCTGTTTGTACAGATGTGATGCAACAGGAGTGAATCTCAGATTAACAACTCCCCCATCCCAAGCACACACACACTCGCTCCTCAATCACTGCCACATTATAAAACAGCAAATATTTATGTAGATAAAAATGTCTGTACGTTTAATTGTTCATAGTTTGGCACATTAATTTAAACATGTTTGATATAATCTTGTTTTGTAAATAGTGCATATGTTTGTGTACAACAGCATTTTGATACTGGCAGGAGGAGATTCACTGGAGAACAGATGAATGAACCCCCTTCTCACAACTTATAAACAAACAACAATAATGAAAATATCTCTTGTGAAATTTCAGAACCTCAGAAAAAAAGAGCATCTCGGTCAAGAAGCTTTCTTTTAGCTTGTCAGAGCCCAGTGTTCTGAGGGGTTGGCACAGAAATGAGGGGAAACGATTCTTAGCACAGAATACTACACATGACCTTTGACCCCTGAACAGAAGGCAACCATTTGCTGAGAGACAGAGCAGGGCGCTGGGCTCGATCTAAACCATGGTTCTGTGACACCGATTTAACACATACAGTGTTATAGCTGCAACGGAAAACAAAAAGACAAAAAAATTGATATTTAGATACACACCACACTAAAAGAGTATCCAAAGACTTTCAAGGCATTTTTCTTCTTGGAAAACAAACCAAACACAAATAAAAACAACTCAAAATTTGTCAGATAAAAATGCAACAAAGCAGCAATGGTGAGTAGGGTGCAGCCATGACAGTGAGACTTCAGTCAGTCTAGTAGGTAGTTTAGCAGGGCTGACATGCAGGATGTGCCTGCCTTCCAGTAGGCCAGGCAAAGGATTGTGGGTAAAGTCAGTGCCATGCAGCTCTGAAATGTGGAAAGGATTTTAGGAGGATTTGGCAGGGTGCGAGGGAAGGGAACGGAGAAAGAGAAGGGGCACATTGCAGAGAGAAAATATTACCTCCGTTTCTCGACCAAAGCGGTCAGTGCTACTCCTTTTATGTCCCTTTTACCCGCTAAGAGTTCCTCGCGGGAGAACTTAGCGCTGCTTTTGTGACGATACATTTTTTTGTGGGCTGGACGGTGTGGAAGTGGGAGACAGTCCAATCCGAGGGTAGGAAAGAAGCCTGGTGGAACAAGTTTAGGCAGTGCTTTACCACCACGCCCAGCCCCTTTCTTCCCTCGACCTCCGCCTGAGGCACCACTCCGCTTTTTAAGGTCAGCAGCGCTACCCAGAATCTTCAGTGTCTGGCTCTGGAGGGCATGTTGACCAGGTGAAAGACAAGGCCCCCAAAGAGGCTCCACAGAGGCCCTCATGAAACGCTGCACCTCAGCCATGCCAGACACTATATTGGACAGGATGTTCGATGGTTCCTGGAATTCTCGTTGGTCATCGTTTGACAGTCCCCCAGTAATAGGCCACTCCCCCTGAACTCCAATTAAGCCAAGCGATGGGGTAGGGGAAGAAGCGCCACTTCCTGACCCTCCTCCACTTTTGGCTGCTTTTCCCTCTAGCAAGGCTTTGATCTTCCGCACAGAACGAGACCCCTGACGTGGGAGCTTAACTTTTTCTCCTTTCGCCGTTTTAGCAGTTTTGCTCTTTTTGGTGCTTTGTCCGTTTTTCCCACCCTTTTTTGTTGAGCCTTTGTGATCCCTTAGCCCTACTTCTTCCTCCTCCGTGTTGAAAGAGTGTATCTGTAGGTGGTGTGGGTTTCCGTCTTGATTAAGCTGCGGGACAACTCTACAGTTCCATTGTACGTTTGCTTCTGCTGCTTCCGAGAATTCTCCAACTTTACCACAGTTCCCCAGCAGTTGAGGGGAAGAGTTAGGTGTGTCTGGTGGCGACATCTCCGAGAGAGATGAATGGCGGAACTTGTCAGGTGTAAAGTTGGAGATATCTAAGAGGTCAGTTGACTCTCGAAGTGGAGCAACCTCCTCTAGACTTTGTTGCAAGATGAGCCGTGGGCTGCAATGCGGCAAGAAGCCATCGTTGATCTCACCAATCTCCTCTTCCCTCTCCCTTTCTCCCTCTCTCAGGCTGAGTGAGCTGTAGTTGCTGGAGGTGGCAGAAAGTGATCCCTGGGAGTTAAAGCTAACCAGTCGCCCTACACCACTGTCACTCCGAGAGCCAGTCGGACTCAAGCCATAATCAGCATCAGGTTGGGATTCTTCATATGAGACCCTGCACCCTGACAGAGATACTTGCCCAAAGCCTTTGACATTTGTGCTATCCCCTGCTAACACAGGCAACGGTGTGGGAAAACCCGATGGCATCATTGGCGACTGGGTTGGGATGTCTGGGGAGAAGGGCAGCTGTTCAGCAGATGGTTCGGATGGCCATGAAATGGACTGGTTTGGTTCAGTAAGGCTTGGCTCAGTATAATGCGTGTGGTGGGGCCCATGGTTCATAGGTGGAGGAGAGTGAGGCAGCTCTGATTCAGAGGGAGGAGAGAGAACACAGCTCTGGACTGGCTGAAGTGTGGGATTCTGTAGCCCTGGATGGAAATAGTTGATGTTAGCAGTGCTTGATGACTCAGAGGCTTCGAGAAGAGTTTGCAGGTATCCCCCGGGGAGGAGTTCAGCATTTCCATCAGTCCCTGGAGCAGTTGGGGTCAAAGTGCATTTTTCAGGGTCATTACTGGAGGCTTCATCTGTGGCATTATCTTTCGAAGAGTTACTAAGGTTTTCTTGTAAACATGGGCTGCACTGCTCAATCTCAGAGGCTTCTGGGACTTCCTGTGTCTCAGCCTCTTTTAACTTTTTCAACCGAAGTCTTGCTTCACTTTTGAACTTCTTTATCTTCCCTGTTTTACCTGCTTCTCTTCTTTCCTCTCTCTCCTGTGTTCTGCTTTTAGCCCTGGCAGTGTGTGTAACGGAGGTAATGTCCTCTTTTGGTTCCTCTGTGCTTTTCAGGGATTCGGTCCCCTCTGGTTGCTTGTGGATGGGGACCACTATAGTTTGTCTGGGGAGGGAATTCTGTACGGTATGGATCTGCTGGATCCTGAGTCTGGCCATCCTGTGCTTGCGTTTGGGTGTAGTGCTTGGTCTTTTGCAGCCATTGAGACGTTTGGTTGTTTCTGCAGCTGTTAATCTATTCTGCTCCTGCTGCTCCTTTTCTCTTTCCTGCCAGTATGCTTTTAATGGTGCAAGTCTCTCATAGTGAAGCAGAGCATTTGGACTCAGACAGACCACAGCGGGTGATGGGTCGACTCGTCCCAGACGCACTCTCATGTGCCTCTGGCCTTTAAAACGATTGATGATTATGTATTTTATAATGACAGGTGGGTCCTTCCTACTGGACCGCCGCCTCTTCTTTGGGCACCAGTCGTCATCACGCTCTTTCTTAAGCCCAGCAGGCGGTTTTTCTCGTTTTTCTGCATTTTTCTCACTTTCTATTGAGTCCACATCATACAAATAGTCTTCTCGGTAGGCCACCTTCCTCTTGGCTCGGAGGCGGTAGCTTAGCTGGCTGGAGTAGCTAGAGTTTTCTCTGGACAAGCAGCCATGGCGGAGGGAGAGCCCATGGTCTGGGGAGCCTGTGCAAGAGCTGTCATCACTGAATTCACCGGAATCTTCCGGAGAGTTGCTGAGGTCAAAAAGAAAGTTACTGTCTGGGCTAATATTGGGGGTCACGTGGTCATCAGCCTTAATCTCAGTGGATTGGTCTGGTTTCACTTTTGGCCCCTCTTTTCTACTGCAAGGTAAGCTAGGAAAGAAACCTAGTTGAGACTCATCCTGTAGGGCAGACTCACTCCTCTCCTGCACTCCATCCTGATAGGACTCATAGCGTATCTTGAGCGAGCAGACGTCAGTACCGAGTGCTGTCTCCTCCTCCTGAAACATGTAATTCTCCACATCTTCCTCACAGAACAGATTGACTGCAAGTTCACTGCGGGAGCATAAGTCCAACAGCTCCATACGACTCTCACTGATGAGAGTCTCTAGACAGCTCCAGTCCTGTGCCTCCTCTCCAAGACCTTCGTATATGCTCCTGGATGCAGGATCCTCATCTGATTCGCTCTCCTGCATCGACCTCCCTTCTTCAGCCCCCTCATTGGTTACAGCTGGATGGGCGGGGCCGCTGAGCAGCTGGTCAGATAGAACCTGGTCACCATAGCGACCTGCGCTGGGGGCAGGGCCAAGGCATTGCAAATTGATGCTGGCAAAGCCGAGTACGGACTCACAGGATTCCGGTTCTGTCTGATTTTTGGGGATCAGACAGCTAAGGCAGTCTCCGCCCCTGGAGTCCATGTTAGAGAGGGACGACCTGTCACAGGTCTGCGGCACAGACCAGGGCGTCACAGGTTTGGAACAGGGCACAGAAGAGAGAGATGAAAGGGAGGAAAGAGAGGAGAATGAAGAAAGAGAGGACAGAGAGGTGGTGTTGGAGACAGACCCATCATGCAGGTCAGCTGGGCTAAGAGGACCTTCAGAGGGCTGACTCTGGCCACAGAGGGAGGGCAGGGACAGCGCCACAGGAGCAATGTCATCACAGCGCCTTAGATCATGTGAAACATCTGTCAATGGGTCATGTGATTCTTAAAAAAAAGAGGCAGAGACAAAGATCCTTAAAGTAAAATTTTTCCTGGTGAACATCTGTAAATATATTTATATATAGATATAAAGAGGAGTTTTACATATTACACTGAAATCAATGAGATGTTTAAACAATGTGCAGATAATAATAGTTAAAATACAATATTTTAGTTTCATAAAATGCTGCATTTTATATGTGCATGGGAACGCCTACCATTTTCACTAGCATCTCTTGGGCAGGGGCTGCGATCTGCCCCTGAGAATCGGGACTCCTGTAGAACATCCATCAATCTGAACTGAATCTCACTCTCACTAACATAATTACAACTGTCCAGCCTGTAGAAACACACAGAGAGACACAGTAAAAGAGGAAGCCAAAATCTTTAGAAATTTGTCAGCACTGAAGACCATTTAAAAACCTTGCAAAAATCTGACAGATAAACTGATAATGATTTTTATTCATTTAGCAGATGCTTTATCCAAAATGACTAATAAAAAATAAATATATCAAGCAGTTTCTCATTGGTGCCAAAATTATTTGCAGTCAGTATAAGACTAGTACACAACCTCAGAAGTGGAATCAGAAAAGATGAGAAAGAGAAAAGACGATTTAAATTTTTTTTTTCAAAAAACAGTCATTTAATAGAAAGAGAACTTAGGATATTTTCATAAAGGTTTTTTGTGTTCCATAGAAGAATGCAAGTCATACAGGCATATAGAAGTTTTAGAAAGTTTCGACATGTTGGTGAGATCAATTTAAATTTCTGGGTAAACTATTCTTTTAATTATCAGCAGCTAAAATGATGAAGAATGACTGTTGAGAATTTACTTGATCAGAAAAAAACTGAAAAGAAAAACATCAGTATTTTCAGTTTAAATTCCCACAATTTAAAGAGAATTTATTTATTCATCGCGCTAACTGCGAGTTACAAATCAGAATTCTCTCTCTAGGACTTCCTCGATTTGTGTCCCGTTTTCACTTTCTGTCTCTCTCTTACTCTCCAGTATTACAGTGAGTTGTATTGTTTTACATCATTCTGTCCTCTGATTGCCCTTCACTGTGAAGTACAACTCTTGAGGATGTGAAAGAAATAAAAGAGCTTTATAACAGCAGAGAAGAGAAAGGAAAGTGCACTCTCTTTTGCCTCAGGCTGTGTGTGCATGTCAGAATAGTGTGCCATATATGTAAGTAAAAAGACATAGTTTTTTATTTTAAAAATAAATAAATAAACATGACAACACTGCATATGCTGTGGGGAGAAATGCTGATATCTAGTACACTGTTTGAAGTGTTCCCACGATGTGAATTTACATAGGATTTCAGAACTGACCTACTGAAGATTTATGAATTACACAAGTATCGAAACTGTTGAGTGGGCATTATATGCATTTCAGTGCCCATGTTTGCTGCTCCAGTTAATTATTATTTTTCTATGTACACTTCAAATATAGAGGTTATTTACAATAAATCACATTTCAATATCTCTTGCTTGGAATTCCATATGAAAATGCAGTGGTAAGGTGCAGAATTTTATTCAAAGGTCATGTTTGTTATTTTCATTGTTCAACAAACATAACTAATTCAATGTATTAATCAAAAGTCATTCAAAAATGTCATCCTTTTTCCGGTGATAATACCTTTATTTTCCTATAAAATATCAGCATTCACTATATCAGCATATGCAACTGACTATACTTTCAAATCCATTATGTTTATGGTCTATTTCAATAACTGTTGCAGTATGCAAATTTGTCTTGCTTAAAAATATACACAGCACAATCTACAATACATATTTGCATTATCTGGATAATTTCAGAATATCATCTGTGTTTAGACCACAGGCAAAGCAAGAGAAAATTCCATAACACCCCTTTTCAACAACAACACACTGTTACACACTAAAAACATTTTCCGGCATGCACCGTTTCCAGATCTGGAAATGGCTATATAATAATAATCTAGGATTTGCTCCTTTCAAACCAGCAACAGTATGAGAAAAAGCCTAGGGCTGCTCTGAGAACATCATGGCTGGGCTCATTCTTGCCAGCTTTGCAGACAGAGAGATAGAGAACAGGGCAGTGGCACTGTCTGCAAACTGCTTTTTATTAAAAAAATTAATATTTATTCAGCTTCAACATCCACCCAAGAGACAGACAATGGAATTACAGAAGAGAGAGAAGTGGAGAGCTAGAGAGAAAGACGCATAAAGAGAGAGAGAGAAGGAGAAGCCGAATCCATGTCGGTGTGAGTTTGTTTGATCTTTTTCAGAGATCAATAAATCTGATGCAATCTGTCAGTCAAGCAAACAAAATATCATCCATTTATGTCACAGAAAGCAAGGGTTAAACACTGACTGCAAGTCTGGCTTCTGTGTGGAAAACACTCAGACCTCACTCTGATTGATGGTTTTCGTCAGTTGATTGATTGTGGTATTGCTTTTGGTGGTTCAAGCTGTGCACGAGAGAACTTTAGTTCTGTTATAGCCCTATACATGCACGTTGCAGCTTGACAGCATCAAAGAAACTTCCATAACATCTTCCCAGGACGGCTGTCCGGTGACTGACAGGTCCTCCATGCTCTTAACACGACCATATCAAGAAGCCTGAAAGACGAGCGCGCTTTCAACATCTCGGATAGCCCAGAGAATTTACATTATTCAGAGAGACGTAACAGGTTTGAGTTCACCCTTGATTATTGAAGGCCTGCATGGTGCGCTATGATACGCGCTCTGCTATTCTGCATCGCCAAATGCCGCATCGGTCGCAGGCGCGGAGGCGCAAGCAAAACGCGGAGAAAATGAAAACGCGTGAATATAGAATAACGCCACATGAAGGGGTTCGTGTTACATTGCTGTCTGTGAACGAGTGCGTATGTAGCTGTGGCCTTGGCTTAAGGGGGGTGGTGTGTATGTGTGTTTGCCTCACGTATTCGTCATGAGCACCAATGCTTTCTGTCCCTCGAACGATGGCCTGCGAGCTGCGACTCATAGAGCCGTTCCTCCGCGTCTTCTCCCTCACTAACACACCTGTGCAATATGGACGCATCATGACAGCTGGCACTCGCTCCACCATTTCTCCCCATTGCAGCGTTTGACGCGCGTCACACTGGCCCACTCACCGCATCACGCACGCAAAGACGCGCATCCCGCACACTCACCTCCCGTTACACCCGTCCCGCCCGCTCTTAAGACTCCGTTTGATCGCTCGGCGTGCAGAATGTTGTTTTTTCGTAACCCCCTTCAATGCAGCGCTCTCAGCATGTTTGCCCTCTCTGACTGCCTCCCGGTAGCAGCAGGTGGACGCGCCTCTCGCGCCTCGGAGCCCCTTACCACTCCATTTTATTCTCTCGCGCTCCAGGGTTTCCAGGAAACAAACAAAGGTCTGCTGCAGCGCCTGCTCCTCGCCGCATGCTCGCGCTCCGCTCTCTCCTCCTTTAGAGTCGCTTTTGTTTTTGCCTTATGTACGTGCGTAACGGAGACGGGGGTGTGCGTGCGTGCGGATGTGTTTTTCCCAGCTGTACCCCGTCCGTCCCTGACAACGACGGCGCGCTCGTGCGCTGCTGCTCCCCCTCTTCTGAGACCTGCCATAAAGAGCGCGCCCCCATATTTTGCACGGCGGCGCGCTGAGGAGTCGGGAGCGCGCGGCACTGCTGAACAGGTGCAGAGGCGCACGCATGCGCACTGATGCTTCACAAGCTCCAAGCACCAGCTAGGGGTCTCTGCAGATTTAGTTTGTTTCCCATAGACAAACTGGTATTACATACGAAGTTACTAACTAAATAACTAAATAAAGCGAGGGAATTTTAAATCCATAATTCTGAAAAATCATTGAAAATCAAAGCAATCTTTGTTTAGGACACTGCTATTACATACGCAGTTACTTAACAATCATACAAACAAATAAATAAGCGAGAGAATTTGAAAGCAATTTAGAAATGTAGAAAACCCCATCATATTAGATGAAATAATAATAATAAAAATAACCTTTGTTCCTCTTGTAAACAAAAGCAACCTTTCTTTCTTCATTCAAACAGACAGATACTCAGTTATATAGTTATTTTATTTTATTTTTTTGTATGTTTGACGTACGTAAATATCTATTGGAATTGTATGACACATAGCCTATGTGACCCTGGACCACAAACCCAATCATAAGGGTCAATTTTTTTAAATTGAAATGTATACATCATATGAAAGACGAATAAATAAGCTTTCCATTGATGTATGGTTTGTTAGGATAGGACAGTATTTGGCCGAGATACAACTATTTGAAAATCTGGAATCTGAGGGTGCAAAAAAAAATATTGAGAAATCGCCTTTAAAGCTGTCCGAATGAAGTTCTTACTAATCAAAAATTAAGTTTTGATATATTTACGGTAGGAAATGTACAAAATATCTTCATGGAAACAGATCTTTACTGAATATCCTAATGATTTTTGGCATAAAAGAAAAATCGATCATTTTGACCCACAATACTTATGACTGGTTTTGTGGTCCAGGGTCACATATACTAACCATTTACCGTTTGCACTAGTATTTAATGGTGTGTTGAATCATCGTCCTGTAAGATCATTATTTATGATAGCATTTGTTATTTTTAACCCTGTAATTACCCTTATTATATCATGATGTATTAAAAACACCACAATTCACTGCTCACCAGTCGCTTGTGCAGCTGCGCCTCTGACGGGTTTGTTTGAATGAGCGCCGCAGTGTCCCGCCCCTTACGTCAATGAGATTTAGACTGGCACGATTTCTAACCAATCAGGTGAACAGGGGATATGACGTCAGGTTGTTGTTCCCCGGGAGTGTGCGTCGTG